GGCCCGGCCCGGCCCGGCCCGGCACGGCACGGCGCGGGAGGATGCGGCCGAGCGCGTAGGGGCTGTGCCATGCCCGGCGCACCCCGCCTCTGCCCCGGCAATGGTAAGGGGGCGCGCGGGGCTTGGCATCCTTGAGCGAGCGCTGCCCCGGGCAGCTGGCCGGGGCTGCCACGCGGGAGTGACCGGTGGCCGGGACGGGACACGGGCTCCAGGGAAGCGGGGCGGGCTTTCCTCCCAGCGTCCCGTCCTTAGAGGGTTTTAAGCCCAGAGCCTGGCAGGGAGGCTGTATCTGGGGCTGGTTTGGGAGAGGTCCCTTCCCGCCCGCCTTGTCTGGGAGTCTCAACCGGGCGGCCCCGAGATCCTCTCCAGCAGGGTTAGGTGGGCAAACAGGACTTGGGAGCTGGCGGCGTGTTAAAAACATCCCGGGCAGAGCTCGTTGCAGCCGACTTGTGCAGGGCTGTTGTCTGGAGTGGAAGACGAGAAGGGAGAAGGAAGAGCTGGCATTTTAAGTGGGGGTCTTAAGAAAAGGTTGAGTAGCACCACTTGCAGCGGAGAGGTTCAGAGAGCCCTTGTCCATCTCCGTGCCCGCCTGCACGTGTCCTGCAGCTAGAACTAGCCTCTTACCGCGCAGGAGATGCCGCCCAGTTAAGGTTACTTGAGCGAAATCATTATCTAGTGACTACAGTTGTAAATTGCCAAGTGTTTGGGAGTAATTATTATCTCCATGCCATTTTTAAATCCAGTCGTGGTGACCTGGGTATTAATTTGTTTTCACTGTGTAAACCTACTGAAGTCTGCAGTTGCACCAAGGAGGAGCTTCTCTACTTGGGTCTGAAGGAACTGGTCTAGATTTTTAGAACTGGACATCTAAAAATGCATGCCCATCATTTGCTTGTAAAATCACTATCCTAGTAATTGTGCCTGCAAATACATACAAATCTACCAGGGTTACACACCCAGTTCTTACAATTCCACGTACAAATTTTGCATCTGTAATAATGGACAGACACCCCGTAACATTTAGGCTGCTGTTTATGGCATTCATCTGACATACATCTGATTATGAGAAATGTATCTATCCGGTTTGTACTGTTGTTTATCACTATAGAGTCTTGGTGCCTTGGAGGTTAATGAATCGTTATAACAACATGCCATGGCACATTTAACTTGATGCCACTGAGTTTGTTAACGGCAATGGTATTTTTTGGTCTGCTGGAATTATCAATAATGGTCAATAAACCATGTGAAGGTGAAAGGTATCTTCTCTTCCCATGTGCCAAGTGGCAGCAAGGAGATAGAGAAATGGGGACATCATATTCAGAAGTTCGTGCTGGGCAGGAGGGGAAATTTGAGTGCCTGTTGGAATTGGTATGTTAAATAGCTTTATGTTAGAGGTGCTGTCACTTGCTAGAGGGATACATGTTTCCTGGTAAGTACCAGTGCTATTACGAATAAAGCAGCTTTCTGCTTTGCAGCTGCATACACGTGTGTGCAGAGTGAAAAGATTTTCATGGGGCTTGGATACGACAGGGAAAACCAGGGTCCATTCTAACCTCCTGTGACTGAGGATAGATAATGCTTAGCAACATCATCCTAGTTAGACTCCATCTCACCAGAGGCCTTCTTCATACCCCACTGAAGTAGGAGGGAGTCTTTCCATTCACTTCAATGAGCGCTGGATCATGCCCTGAAAAAAATGGTTGGTTTGAATGTGAGTTTTAATTTATGAATTTGTGTGCAAGGGAGAGGGAGCAGCAGTCCCTTTGCCTTGGGCACTTTCACTGTGCGCGAGAGTGACTGGGGCTTATGAAGCACCTTTTTAAAGGCAGCTTGTGAAACTTTGAACTGGCAGTTTTTCCCAACCAGTTATTTCCCACTCCAAAACAAACTTCCCCCATGGAAACTTCATAAAAGTCTTAAGTAATTAAAACTACACAGCTGCAATTTGTTCTGCTTCAGTGCAGTGGGCAGATAAGCCTTGGTTTATCAAGTCTGAGCACCCAAACAGGGCTCCCAGCTGACTTGAGCTAGCACTTCGGAATCCGTTACGTCGTGATGACTGCATGTTTTTCTACTTTATGTGAAAGAGACTCAAAGTTAAAAAAAAAAAAAAAGTGTGTATGGAAAT